AAACCAAAATTATTATTGTATGTTGGCCACATTATACCTACGTACTGTTAGCACGGTTGTTTTGTATTTTTTAGTTTTACCTTTCTGACTGCTTTGTAACAATTTACTTACTGTACATGCGTATAAACAAAAACAAATTCAAAAAAATTAGATAAACATTTAATAACAACTGGGTTTTTACCTAGTAAAAGTGACAAGTTTTCCAATTCTCGTGTTTTGTATGCAAATGCAGTAGGAACTATGCCATTGAAAATAAGACTCCAGAAAATATTAGTTTTGTTTTAGGAAATACATTTGCTAATAATAACAATATTATGGTGCCTACACTTTTGCTAAGTGTTTGCCAAGCTTCTGCTTTAACCCTTTCGACCCGGATGGTACATATATGTACCACCAAAGTTTAAACATCCCTAAAACTTGTAATTTACATTTAATCACATTTGGAAATGTACCACGCCGTATGTTAGGAATTTCACCATCTGCCTGAACTCTACACATTCAGTTTTGCATCTCCTGTTATGCCCAGTTTCGTTTTATTTCTGGGGAGAGGGCCTCCCGTTAACGTTTTTGTACAGATTTCCTTGCGTTTGTGAAGATTTCTTAGTTTATTTAAATATATTATGGAAAAAAAAGCTGTTTCTAATAATTGCCTGTAAATACGGTGATACAATTTTATTATAAACCTCTGTTTTCATAAATTCAAATATATGGTACATATATGCACCAGCAGTCTCCTTTGGTGGTACATATGCGTACCAGTAGTCCGGTGAACATAGCTTAATTTTTATCGATTTCATGCAAGATCAAGCCAACGATATGCCTCTAAATCCGGTAAGATGGTGTGATGCTGCAACAGGGTACACATATCGTTTTAACATTTATTCTGGAAAAGACCTCGAAGAAACCGCAGGAGCACTTGGAGAAAGAGAGGTAAGCAAACTGGTCAGCTAAATCGTAGAAAATGATATTACTTTGTGTTTTGATCGCTTTTTCACATCAGTTAATTTATTGTACTATATTCCTTATTCAGCTGTTGGTACTACATATAATGGGTAACAGAAAAAAAACGTACCTAAGTTTACGAGTAAGAAAATGCAACGAGGAGAAATAGAATTCAAAAGCACATCTGCAGGCCTTTAATACGTAAAGCGGCAAGACATGAAAGGGGTTTCATAATAAGAAATTGCCACGAACCAGGCATAATAATTATGAAAAAACTTTGAAAACAGGCAAAAAGTGCAAGTGCCATGTCCAAACTATACTATTATATCGTCAAATTATGGGAGGTGTTGATTTAGTAAATCAAATGAGTGGCCTGCACGAATATGATCGAAAATCAGAAAAATAGTGGAACAAGGTCTTTTACCGTTTTATAGTGATGGAAGCCGTAAGCGCGTGGGTTATTTACAGTTAGCTAAGGAGGAATAAAATGCCTTTCAAATCATTTTTGGTGACCTTGGCCGAAACTCTGATAGAACAAAGTTCTAAAACTACAGCCTTACGCAGGTCAGTAGCACCAGGCCTAGCACAGCGTGTCGTGAGTCAGATACATATTTCTATTCAAAGCACCACAGAACAACGTTGCATAAAAGCAAACTCGAACAAAGATAATCTGCCAAGAGTGCAAAGTTCCTTTGTGCAAATTCTGTTTTGCACCATTTCGTTATATTTTAGGAATTCCTTAGCAATTTATTGTTAATTCTTTGACTGTTTATTATTACTAAATTTGTGCATTATTCAAATGCAAAATTAATGAATCGTTTTGTTTGGTTCTAAAAAAGATAAAACATTTGTAAGAATGTCCTAGAGGACGGTTGATACAGATATGTACCACTTAACATCCCGGATGGTACAATGGTTTACCACCACCCTTCGAATCAGCCCCTTAGGCCACGCCCACTTTGACACCGAAGAACATGTATTTGTGGGGCAAATAACATATTGGACCCATAAATTGAAAACTACCATTGAGAGTTCCGGGTCGAAAGGGTTAATTTGTGGAGTGCGTCTTGACGTTGTTACATATGTAAATGGTGGGGTATGGCCTACAATTTAACTCAGTCTCCTAACGGCAAATGGATTTTATGGGCTTTTTCATGGCAGAGATGGCAGGTTAGAAGAAACTGTTTCTAACTTATGCACATGATGCCCGGATAACGGATCGAACCCAGGTCACACCGGGTGGTAGTTTGCACCTCTAACACATGCAGATCGACCTATCTTGGCAGCTAGTTTTCAAGAACGGCCTACTTCAGAATTCGGTTCAAAAACGCCCTATCTTAAAGCAAAATACATAGAAAATATTCTGAGATGTTTTAATGAAATTCCGAAATAGGGCTTTGTTGAAAAATTTGCTGAGATAGGGCGTTTACGAACTGGCTGCCGAGTTAGGTTGATCTTCCACACAGCCATCGATATGTATGTATATGTATCACTGATGCTAACTCATTTTATCACTCTCCCCGATGGCCACCACGAAATTCCCCGATTTTCGATGAAATTCCCCGCACAAGCATGACTCCATTAAAAAAAAAAAAACTTAAATTTTTTAATGCAATTGCTTGAATTTATTTACGAATTGCATACCTACAATATTTAAATTTTAAATTTTTTCACTCACAGAGTATTACATGCGCTATATAAGTCGAAGTAAAAAAACTTTGTGCAAAACTGACAAAAATTCAACACATTTCAAAAAAAATCCACATTTTTAACTTTTTACTCGTAATTTTCAGAAGCCAATTTAAGGGTATTATTACTATTTAATTTATTTTTTTATTTTATTTATGGCTTTAATTTAAGCCTAAGTAGAAGGTTCTATCATCTTCTGTTTTTTTGCTGGACCTTCTAAAATATTTCAAAAAACGCGATTTTCTTGACACTTTGACCTAGTTTTTCTCAAAATCTGGAGCTGATGGAAACCTTATTCTTATGGACTCGTAATCAGCACAGCAGCTTTAACATTTGCCGCAACAAAATCACTGTTACCTTGTGTAATTGCATTACTTAATATGTATGTATATATAAATGAATGTAAGTAAAATTAAAAACATCAACGTTTTTACAGTGTTTCTAATGCGAAATCGGCAGAGTTGCAATTGTGACTAAAAATAAAATTTTACAAAAAATATACTGCACTCAGGTAAGTTATTTAATCATTTAAAATTAAATAATCTAAATTCCTTGCAAAAGGCAGCCATTTCCCGATTCCCCGCATCGAGACAAATTGCCCGCAAATTGGGGAATTGCACGCAAGTTGGCATCCCTGATATGTACAGATGCGTGCAACTAATTAACAACGTACCAACAATACCCAACACCCAAATTCGAAATTTTTACTAAACTCCCCTGTTTGGAAAGTATACTTAGATTAAGCTGTCAAAAATTTCCATAAAGTTCCCTCATTGTGAAAAAATTGCAATTTTTATGCAAATTTGACTAATGCGATGGTGCATTTAATTAGCAACGCGAGTTAAATTCTTCAGAGTTTTGCGAGTTAATTGAATTGCGGTAAGAGTCTTTTTATATTCTTACTAAAATAGTTTATTTACAATGAACTTAATAGTTTTATTTGAAAAACCAATGGGTAAGCGCAAATCGTGTAGCGAGGAAACTAGGGCTATTATCGTGCAGGGCGCGGTAGTGCGCAGAAGTCCCTCCCCTTGGTGTGACAACATCAATGCGCACGCCACAAATAGGAAGAGAAGCCCAGCCAAGCACTAACAAATGTGTTAGCACTAATCTATTATTATTATTATTATAGTCGCAAAGAATCTCCAAATTTGTTTACTTTGGCCATAAAGTATTTTTGCGAACCACCTTCCTCAGTGAACCCAAAACGAGTGTATAGTGCATCGGGTAGCATTTATGTTGAAAATAGAAATGGGTTCTTGACCGATAATGCGGAAATGCTTCTTTTCATAATGAAAAATATATAAATTTTTAACTCCTAATTACTAATTAGATACGAATAAATTTGATTAAACAATTTAAAAAAAAAAAATCTGAACTAGATTTTTAAATTGAATCTTCTATAATTGAAATCCGGAAATCCGGCCGGTTAGTCGGATAACTGAAAAAAGGCCGGATAAGCCGGATTCCGGAAAATATGATTATTCCTTATAAGTAATGTACGTATGTATGTATGTATATGTATACCTGACACCTGAAGTATGAACATACATACATACATATGTGCATATGTGCCATAGTAATAATGAGAAAACATTTAAATAAGTGCATGATATTTTCGTTTGTTTTTTATGGACAATTTACTAACTAACTAACCTAACTTTCGTTCTATACAAGTGCACAACTGATTTAACTCCAAACCAAGTCAAAGTTTACGAAACGATCAAAGTCCGAGAAAGTGAACATGGCCAATTCTCAGTATCCACCTGGGTAATGATTGGATGCAAGATGTGCGAAAATGTTTTCATAAATTATATAATTTGTCATACAATTAGCAATTAGAAGCATTTAAGTTAAAAAGAGAATACGCAAAATTGTTCCTGTAAAGGTAAATTTAAGTAGTTCACTCTACGATCGGTCATTTGATAATATACATACCGCACACGATCATCAAAAGTACGCAACCTTTCAGCAAAAGCTGGCGCAAATTTTTACATTTGGTAAGAAATACATTTTTCGCATTTTCTGACAATCGTGTAATTTTAAGTTGTGTCACTTTTGAAGATCGATCGTGTGCGATATTTAGATCATTTATTCATGAAGACAGAAACAATTGATAGTTAAATTAATCGTAATTTTTTCATATTATGTATAACAATTTTTGAACGAATTTGCCGGAAGGTGATTTAAAAAATATCAACGAAATGAACACACATACATAAAATAAAACCCTGCAGCATTAATTGTTATATTTCTGCCACCATAACACAACTTAAACTTTGCCTTGTAGCGCCGCCCTTGTAACCACTTTGCTGTCGTAAAATTTTGCGTGTATGAGACACATTTAATTGACGATTGAAACATCAACGACGAGCGTCGCCGGACGACGACGGCGGCAAGCATACAAAACATAAAACAGAAATTAAGACATCAAGTTAACTTATTACTCAGACAACTTCTGGCGAAGGCGCGTGCGTACACAACATAAGTTTTCGTTTTAAAATGCAAATATTATTGTCAACAAAATATGAACACACTCCCGATCAGTTGGAAAAAATTCAGGAATTACGCGATTTAGTGGAAAGTGAGTGAATTAAACCACCAAGGCGAATAAAAAAGGACAGTGAATAAGAGGCAGTTGATCTTACAAAAAATGCCAATTTAGGCAATTCAAATGATGAAATATAACTTCGTCTTCGTTTCTTATAAATGTGTGTGGGTCATTCGATACAAAATTTACACCTCACACATTTTTTTTTTTTTGTGTGAAATATATTTTACATTCTTTGTCGAAAATAAGAAGACACCTATTTTTTATTTCATCATAATATTCGAAAATCTCGAAAAAAAAATTCTGAAATTTTGAACTCACGAAGAAGTATTTTTTTTAAATTTGTCGCAGTTAATAAATTATTTGTCGGAGAAAACCAGTTAAGTAAACAAAATGTGCGTAATTACCTCGGCTTTGCATTAGAGTGTGAGACAGATTTAAATCAATAATTGTTTTGCATTAAAAAATTTATTTTATTTTAATAATTTTGTATTAAATATACACTGTTTGATTTATTTTTTGCAATCTAAATAGTTGGCAAACTTTGGTTTTTCTATTCTCAGACATTTACAGTGTACTCCATAAAGTTTGACAACTATTTAGATTGCCAAAAAAAAACACAAAAATCCTGTATATAATTAATAAAACAAGTAATTTTTAAGCAAAAAACACAAGCGACTTCCTTTCTCATACAAAAATTTAGGAGTACCGTTAATTTTTTCGTGATCCAATGTTCGGATCTAAACCACTACTGATACACTACCATTCAGATAGAATTATCGAAATCGGTTGACGTGGTCCAAAGTTATGCGGTAACACGCATAAAAAAGAAGATTCCGACGAATTGCTAGCGTTCTCCTTTTTTGAAGTCGGTTAAAAATATTTCAAAAATGCAATTTTTTCAATGCAAAAGATTATTTATTGAAATTCCAATTTCCTTCGACAAATAGTTTATTAACTGAAAAAAATTGAAAACAGATACTTTTTGAGTTCAGAATTTCGGCGGTTTTTTTGAGATTTTCGAATATCAAGATGATAAGGAATGTACAAAAAATATTTCAAAACAAAAAATATTGAGATGTAATTTTTTTATGAAATGATCCTTATACTCTATATACGTGCTACATAACTTTCTACTAATGTAGTTAAACGGGCTTGTTCTCTTCACCACCTTCAAATTTAGCTTCAAATGACCTTGAAATCGGTACCGACGATGTGTTCCTAACGAAATTTCTTAGTTTCGCTAGTTGGCAGGTTAAACGTGCCTATGATGCGATTAATCGGTATTATGACTTCAAGCAGAAAAACCCCGACTGGTTGGCGAACCACCCGGTACACTACTTTCGTGACCATATCTATCAAACGCTCAGCAAGTATATAATGCCGAGGCCGGACAAGGATGGTCGTGTGATATTCGTCTCGAAAACAGGTTAGAACTGCTCGGAAATACTAAGAAATTATTTTGAATTACATGTCTTATGATTTCAGTCGATGCCTTCAAGACATTTCCTAATTACCTGTATGATATGATCGAGATGGATGACTTGATTTTCGAATCGATTTTACTACTGCCACAGGCGCAAAAATATGGCATCACTGTCATAAGCGACTTGAGTGGGTGCGTACATACATACATATGTACATAAAAATGTGTTTTAATTTCTAGGCCGAACATCATTTATTACTAAAATTTATCTTTATAAATTAGGGAGTAAAAATGTTAAGCATTAACTTTCCAAATTACAAACACAGCTATAAAATTTGTTTGTATGGATGGACTTACCCTGCAAACCATTTTTTCAGAGTATTCTGAATCGTAAAGAATTTTTAAAGAATTCGGAAAGATCCCATCCGATTTTTTGCCGAATTTTCTAAAATGAAATAAATTACGCACACTTCCATTCTTTTACGAAATTTCGGAAGAAAATCGGTAAAGAAATGAAAATAATGCTGCTATGTGAAGAATTTCTTGCAGACTTCTTTCAGAATTTTCTTTATTTTTCGTACAGAAATTTCTTTACGAGTTCGTGTCAACCACTTCATATAATTTTCTTTGAAGATTCGGAAAAAAAAACGTTACAGAAATCAGATACTCCTAAAGATTTCGTTAAGATTTCGGGAACTTTGGTTTGCAGGGTATACATACATATGTATGTACAAACATATGCACAAAAACTTTGACTATTCTGCACAATTTTCGAGGTTTTCTGGGATTTTTTTTTAATTACAATTTGAATTAGTTTCACAACACACACACACATTTTTAAATTTAAGTTACACTGAAAAAGAAAAACAATTTAATTTTATAGCTTATTTTGTCCTTATTTGTTTAGCACTAATAAGCGCTTTTTGCGTTTTGCTTCACCTGCCATGGCAAAAATGGTGAATGCCAAAAATGATGTATTGCCATTTGTATCACGGATTGTTCATGTCATTCAGAAAGGCATGGTTTTGAACGCCACAACCAACTTAATGATGTCCTTCGCCAGCAAAGAGTTCAAGGAACGAGTAAGTATAACAAAAACATGCATACATAAATACTAGTTGCGATCCCGTACGAGTCCGAACTAGTCAGAAATAGTCAGAAACAGTCAGATTTTATTGGAAATCGATCCCGTACTTGGTTCTCTGACTATTGAGAGGACAAAAAAGAGAGTAAATACGGGTCTCTCTCTCTGTCAGAAGTTACCAGTTTTAGTCCGAGAATTTGTTGCTGGTAAATTCTAGTAAATGTGTCAAACGATCAGCTGTAGTGTGTTTGGCAACCAAATTGTAAACAAAGGAAAAGTGCACTCTGCTAATTCATGTTGCAAAGTATTTAATTACTTGTTTAAGTGGATTCTAATGAATTTTAAAGTATTTTTGGTTATTTAGATGTGTGAGCTGAGTGTGTTTACATACAAAATAAGCAAAAATTTACAACCAAAATTTGGAGGTTGTGTTGAAGTTGACAGAAGTTACCATTTTTTACTAGAAAGCGATCCCGTACTTTTCAATGTTACTCTCTCGCTCTGAGCGATTTTTTATTTTTTGACAGTTTTACTAGTCCGAGTCCGAGGAATACGGGATTGCACCTACTATTTATTTATGCAACAGAGCTCGGAGGTGATGGGACGGATTTTTCTCAAAAAAAGTTTGTATATCCTTAATAAACAACCGCGTCTTTTATGTTTAAAATGTTTACCGTAAATGTGTATCTAATAATGAAAACGTTTGACGCAATAGGTCAACACAAACACATACGTATGTATGTATATAACAAAAGTCAATTCGAAGCCAATTTCAATTAAAATTTGTATATAATTTCTTAGATGGTATGCCATAATTAAGTCGTCTTGACATTACTTCCGTTAACTTTTCGTAAATCCAGTAAACAATTTTATCTTTGGCCAATAGGTTTGATATGTTTAAATTTTAGACGCAATTTTTTGTAGCTGGAGCTTAAGCACAAGGTTCCATTTGCTCTGGACCATTAGCCTATTAATAGTTCCAAAAGCGAAACAAAGTCCAATTTAGGAACCGTTTTTTTATGTATGTATGCCCTTACTACATGTCTATATATCGCTGGCTTAGAGTGAATATTTAGTTGCTAAGTCCACTTTTTT